TTATATGTTAATATACTTCCTAACCTAAACTTTCCAGTGGTTCTCCATTCCCTTGGGATGGGATCCATTTTTATGCTATTTAAGGGATGACAGTCATGACTAGTCCTGCATACCCCTCCAGTGTCACTTCCCCTCACCCCTTTTATTTCTATTTGTACTACAATTATTTATATTCCTCCTAACCTCTGAACTTTTTCTTTACATTCTTTTAATTAAATATTTTCCTCTTTCACATTTACTTCATCAACTAGTTAGTTGTTTTTAACCTGTTATGCCAGCACTTAGCCATCAATAGCAGTAAATCATCCTTGAACCTACAGGATCATGTTCTTTGCCATGTTTTTTTTTTTTTTTTTAACTTATTTAAACTAGCATTTACTTAATCGTAATGCAGTGTTAGCTTTGTGAGAGAAGCCAGCTAGTGTTTCCCTTGTGCCTCAGTGCTATAATGGTTTCTAGAATGTAATGGTACTTAATATTTAATAAAAATTGATCTGTTTTCATTTTTACCTTCAATCTAGACATTTAAGCATCTTAAGGACAGTGACTTTGTCTTATTTGTGTGCATTTGTCCCTCAGAATCTGCAGGGAATTGATTCCAGGACCCCACTTGGATACCGCAGTCTGTGGATGCTCAAGTCCCTTATATAAAATATTGTATTATTTTTATGTAACCTATGCATACCCTCCCATATCCTAGATTACTTAAAATACCAATACAGTGAAAATGCTATGTAAATAGTCATTATGACTGTATTGTTGGGAATAATGACCCAAAAAATCCTGCACATGGTAGAGATATGAAAAGAACAAAATTAGCAATTGGAATTTGTCTAAAGTCCTCTTTAAACATAGGTGTAGAAGCAATTCTGCCTGGAGAGAAGGTCACAGTTCCAGGAAAACAGTGTGGAAATATTTGATCATGTTCCTCAGAGGATTAGGAAGTTAGGCAGGTAGATAGGAGGAAAAGTCATATAGGCAAAATAAGCAGCATGAGGAATGGGGTAAATATATCTGATGTCCTTGAGGACTAGCAAGTGGTTTTCTAAGAGAAGAGTACAGGGATGGTGTAAGGAAATGGCATGTGATGTCCCTGGCACTATCCTGTCATAAGTCTTTAGTCTCAACTCAGTAACTGGTATTTTAATTAATAAGCAATATGAGACACTGCAAAGATATTCTGTTCACATAATATAGAAAGATGACTGATGACTAGGAGAGTATAATGGAAGCAGATAAAATGATGAGAGTTTGGAATATGATATTAACAATGGAAAGAGAAGCAGACAGGTGTGAAGGGTGCTGTTGTGGATTTGTGTTGTACCTATTAGCTACCTTGGATTTACCTCAGGATCTTCTTCCCTAAATATTTTCAGACCAATCCTGGATACAGGACACATTGTACAAAAAATTTGGAAGCATATGTGAAGTGACAGCTTGGAAAATCAGTGCAATAGGTGCAGAGGCATCAATTGTTAATAACATGCCCTCTGTTGCTGATTTGCTAACTCACTCCTTGGAATGAATTCACAGCTGAGCATATGAATTCACAGCTGAGCATACAGTTTCTCCAGTTTCTGACAGCTCTTCTCCTTCAGCTTCTCTGGATGTTGGGGACAGGCACAGCAGTAGGCACAAAAGCAGTAGGCATACATAAGGGCAAATTCCTATAATAAATCCCATATTCTATATAATGTGTTTTTTTTTTTTTTTTTTTTACTTTCGGATAGAAACGTGATACAGAATTTACTGCTACAGCAAAATACCTAAGCCATATAGCAGTAGTTTTGGGAGTAGGCCTTGAATGCAAATTAGAAGGACCTTGGAGAATCTATTAAAAGGAGACATGTCAGCCGGATGCGGTGGTGCACACCTGTAATCCCAGCTGCTTGGGGGCTGAGGCAGGAGGATCTTGAGTTCAATGCTAATCTCAGCAAAAGTGAGGCACTAAGCCACTCAGTGAGACCCTGTCTCTAAATAAAATACAAAATAAGGCTGAGGATGTGGCTTAATGGCTGAGTGCTCCTGAATTCAATCCCTGGTAGACCCTCCCCCGCCCCCCAAAAGAGACATGTCACTAGGAGGCTGTCAGTGAGGGTTTAAAGGAAGGAAAATGTTGGAAGCTAGAACAAAGGTGATTCATGTTACATAGTAGCAGAAAGCTAGCAATGCTGGCAGTATTAACAGTGAAAAATAAAACATTTATTTCATCAACTGGATGATAGCTAAGGAGCTTTCTAGGCAGAGTGTTGAAAGTGCTCTTAAGAATCTTCTAGCTGGAGCTGGGGTTGTGGCTCAGTGGTAGAGTGCCTGCCTAGCATGCAGGAGGCACTGGGTTCAATCCTCAGCACCATATAAATATAAAATAAAGACATTGTGACCACCTAAAACTTAAGAATAATAAAAAAAGAATCTTCTAGCTGCCTATAGTAAAAGATAAGAGGAGAGAGGTGAGCAGAGGAAGAATTGTTAAATATAGAGGCGCCATTCTTTAGGATTGATAAGTGTGTTAGTTAGCTTTTGCATTGCTGTGACCAAAATATCCAACAAGAAAAACTTAGAAGAGGAAAAGTTTATTTGGTGCTTACTGTTGCAGAGGTCTCAATCCATATGCAGCCAACTCCATTGCTCTGGGCCCAAAGTGAGGCAGTACATCATGGGGGAAGGACCCAGGGGAGAAAAAGGGCTTAGCTCATGGCAAGGTCAGGAAGGGGGAGGCAGGGAAGATGCAGGACCTACCTCCTCTAGCCACATCACACCTGTGTATAGTTGCCACCTATTCAGTCCGTTCAAATGAGGACAGACTGATTAGATTATAGCTCTCATCTAATCATTTTAATCTCTGCATATTCCTGCACTAGCAGGAGCTTTTGGGGAAGACACCTCATATTTAAACCACGAGAAAAAGCAAAAACTGTTATAGGTTCAGCAATTGAACGGAAAACAGAATCAGTCTGGAATGGCCTCTACCCACTTAAGACAGTTGACACATAGCCAGTGGTGGTTAGTGTCAGCTGGGGTATTAGCATTACAACATCACTTTAGAGGTGATGGGTGTTAAGGGAGGTTTTCTTGTGGTTTTTTTTTTTTTTTTTTTTTTTTAATGAAGACATGGCTTTGTTTAGATATAATAACTTGATTCTTATAAAACTATATTTGAAAGATCAATTTGGAAGAGATAAGACAAAGAACAGTAATGAGGTAGCTGAAAATTGTTTTATCTGTCCTCCTTATAACTGTAAGTCACTATTAATCAGTACCTGTTATTTTACTGCTAGGATAATGATGTTTGCATGATGTCACTAAATTTAATGTTGTTGAATAAATGAATAAAGTGAATCCTGAATACCAAAGGAACAGTTGACTTGTGATCACAATACTTTCAAGATGGAATATATTTTACAATGTTTACATTTTTGGAAATTAGCAATCTAAATGTCACACACACACACACACACACACACACACACACATATATACCTAAATACCTCCAAGTCTCCTCCTATCTGGACAAAAATGGATTTCTAGTAACAATCAAATATCGTTGGCTGTAGCTCCCCCATCCTTCTTTTTGTTTTTTTCAAATGTACACAATAATAGCAAAACTAGCGTCAATAGCTTCTACATACCTCCTACTCAGCCTTGATAATTGTCAATGTTTTCTCAATCTTGTTCAATCTGTTCTGAACACTTGTTTCCCCTGGGCAATTTTAAGAAAATCCAAGACATCATCTTATTCCACCTGAAAATTTCAGTATGCATTTCTAAATGTTAAGTCCATTTAAGCTAAGTGATACACCTTTTCATTATCACAGAAAACCAGATTAATAATTCCTATTACCTAATACACAGTCCATGAATAAGTTTCCTTTATTGACTCCAAGATATTTTTATTCAAATCAGGATTCAGCCCAGGTCTGACATTGCATCTAGCTGTTATTTGAATTACGTTTCATTTTCTTCACAGCAGTTTTCTCTCTTTTTATTGAAATCATTGATTTGTTGGTGAAACCTTGTGCCATTGGCCCTATAAAATTTTCCATGTTCTAGATTTAACTGAATGCTTTCCTGAAAAGAATTTTAATATGCAGTCTAGAAAATGGGTAATTAGATCTTGAAGCCATGATTTGATTCAGGTTCGATTTTTTTTCTTTTTGGCAAGAAAATTTATTTGGTGGTACTGTGTACTTTTTATTACATCCTACATAGAATTTATAACATGTGATTGCCCCAGTTTTAATGATGACTAAAATTGATTAGTTAGTTAAATTATTAACTTGGTTCCTTCCTTATAAAGTCTCTTAGCAACCTTTCATTGAATACTTTTAGCATTCAATTTGATTTTTGCATAGATTCTTTATTGCTTTAGAAACTTGCAAAAATAGTTAATCTTCTAAAGCTATTTTCCTTCCGTATTTATTAGCTTAAATTTTTCTATGAATAAAAGCTTTATTAATTATTAGATTATGCTGATGCAGTTTATACTAGAAGAGCAGAATAAAGCTTAATTTCTTCCTCCTTATCAATTTCATATTGAGTTAGCAACTTCCAGTGTGATTAATGAGTTTCTTTTAAAAAAAATACCATTTTGAACTCTTTAGATTTTAATATGGTTTGATGTGTTTCAATCCACTCTAATTTTTTCCTACCCAGATCTTCAATATTTTTCATCTTAAACTAGTGGAGCTCTCAGAACTTGGCTCCTGTGTCCTTTTGATGTGATCTCATTCGTCTTTGATAACATCTTTGTCTCTGGCCTAAGGTATTCAAGGTTTATCTTGCACATTTCCTGCTCCAAACCTGAACCAGCTATTTTCCCTCTCTGCCTTTTCTATAGGAAACCATCCAGTGCCTCCTACCTTCACCAGGGAGGATCTCAGAATGTTTCTGTTTCTATGACACACCAATTCTACAATTAAAGATTCTAAAGATAAATAATAAAGAACTCTAATCTTTGATGTGACATTACTTTCTTCATTTTCTACTTCTCTTCAATGATCATGACTGAGAGATTGTTAATAAGAGCAATAAAGGGTCACGGACAAACTCAGATCGTTACTTTGAATGGGAAAAAAATAAGAAAGATGCCCTCAACTTTAGAACTATTGCCTGACCTGAAGAATCTATGTCTTCAAAATAATCTAATCTCCAAAGTGTGCCCTGAGATAAGCACCTTGACCCAGGTGAGGAATTGGGTGTCTTTGGGTTGAGGGTGGAAATAGGAAGAGAGACAGAACAATAAGACTTTGATCTATGATGACATAGCTCTCTGGAGACTTAGTGTGGAGTGTTGTTGGAGAGGCATCAGAAGGTTTTCTTGCTTAGGGAATTACACATGGTAGGGAGAGGAGATGTTTCAATTTATTCATGTGCTCTTTGGCCTACATCTGGAATCAGGGGATTAGGTCTCTCTACCACACTCATCTTTCTGGAGGCTGTCATCTGGAAAAGGGCTAGAAGCCTGGGTCTGTTCTCTACCTTGGGGGCTCACATCTGGAAACAGGTTTGAGGATCCAGGAGAGGCTGTTCACCCTGAGGATGGTCCTTAAGCTTTTACAGAAGAAACGAAGAGACATTTAGGATGTAGAAAGGGAGTTCCTTTTCAATTTCCTGGAGCAGGTCAAAACTTTGAAATGGAGCATTGGCAAGGAATAGGAAGGAGGGGAAATTCATTTCTTCTGAAATAGTCTTTAAAAGAAGGTTAATATTTTAAATAAGGAATGCCCTTCTTAAGGAGCAACAATCGACATGAATGAATCCCAGATGCTTGTGTTAAACATTTCTGTGTAACAATGTGAATCTCCAGCTGCGAAAAATCTTGAGGTTGAGAGAAGGCCAGGGATATTAATGTTGTTTTTTCTTTTTATTCACTTCTAAACTGTCATTGCCAAAAGAACGTATAAGCAGCTAACTCGTTTTAGCTCACTGATCTTTGAGTTCCAGAAACTAAATATCTTCTTATCTTCACTCTGCCTCATTGCCTTTTTAGGTTTAAAGAAGTTATTTGAGCTTGTTATCGATGGTTGTATCTTTACAAGAAATAGGGTAATGTTCACAAATTCCTCCCTTGGGTAGTAACTTCAAATAGCACACTTCTAAGGCAACAAGGATTTGAGCTTTTCTAATGAGTAGATGAATTTCTATGCAAAATGATTTAAGGTTTGACTAAACCATGATTGGATTCTCTCTCTTTGCTTGAATTTATTTCTGTTGTAATAATACTGTACATTGTTTCAAGAAAATGAAATTCTAAAAAAAAAGCTTAACATAAAAAACTATCTTTTGTGCCACCCTCCCTTATACCCAATGGTAACCTCTACAAAGAATCACCTTTAATTCTTTTTTCTTGACTTAACCCATTTTAGATATCATTCTTCTTATTTTTTTATGATGTGTGTTATTTACATTCCATTCAGTTATAACCCTGACCAAGTCTTTATTTTGCCTCTTGGAGAATTCTAAACTGTATATTGTTATTAAACAAATATCATTCAGATGGAGTCAATCTACCTTGATTATATTTTCTTTAGATACCATTTTGTTCTCTTGGAGTTTTTAATTGCCTTTCCTTTCCCTTTATACATTTGCCTTAACAAGGCCTCATTTAATCTCAAACTCAGTCGTGTTAGATACTTTATCAAATGCTCTCTTCCCCAGTAGTTTCCATTCTCTATCCTCCTGCCCCAATATGAGTTGATTGCCATCTAGGTTTGCTGTCACTGTCAAGGCAGGACACCCCTTTGATACCTGTGTTGAAAATAAATCATGGTTGGATCCCATTCCTCCAGTGTTGAAGATTGAACACCTGAGAAATGCTGAAGCAAAAGCAAAAAGTTTTATTTAAAGGAGGGAATTGGGTGGGTGGAGGGGAGGAGCTCCTTTCTAGAGGAGGGGGTCCAAAGCTGGTGCCCCGGGAGTGAGGGTATCCTGCCCCTTTTATAGATTTCAGATTTCTTTTCTTCTTATGCCCCCTCCTCCTCTTATCTTTCCTCAGTGACCAAAAAGTTGAGTAACCAAAGGTGGGAAAGGGACTGTCCAGGGGTACAAACAGGAAAGGAGCCATCCAGGGGATATTCATCAACAACTCCTTGCAGGGAGGAACAATTTCTTGGAGGCAGATAACCTTGGCAACAGGTTGGAGGAGGGGAAGTGCTCTGGAGGTATTAGCATTTTATTTTCTTTGAATCAGCCTCCATCTTCATGACCCATTTTCATAACCTCTCTAAAGACTCACCTTTAGTTATTTTTTCTTGACTTACCATTTATTACCTATATTGACTGTCTTTTTGCCCGTCTCACCTTTACTGCCCTCCTGATTGGACCCATGGTTTTTCTGTATTCCATATTTTCCCCATATTCTTTTTTTTTAGGTTTTTTTTTTTTTTAGTGGTAATTCTCAAAATATCATCTTAGTCTGGGTATGTGATTTTTTTTTTATCTTTTTCATACCTGAAAGTGTCTGTATTCTTATTAAATATGGAAAATAACAAATCCCCAAAATAGTGAGCCCTGGGGGAATGAAAAGGAAAGCATACATTGAGAGCACTGATCCTTTCCCAATACATTCTTTCCGGGTGATAAAACAAAACATGGGGAAGAGGTGTCCATAAAACTTCAGAAAGGTAGTCTCTGGGAAGAGGCCAAAGCATTAATCTTTCTATAAACAAATCCTTTCCAGATATCAACTACCCCAGGCCCTCCATTAGGTCTAATAAGATAAACCCCAGAGCCTGACTGCTGACCCTAGACTCCCTCCCATTTCTCCCAGTAAAACAGACCTCCAATTTTTGAGTGCCCAATTTTGACACGTGCCGCAGTCTGGCTGGGCACAAAATAACCGAGCCGCCACACAGCCTTGTAGGTTCAAAACAGGAACTCCTTTATTCTCCACACTCCCGCAAACGCCACGCACACCACACACGAACCGGAAAATCCCTTCTCCAGCACTTCCCCAACCAATGGGAATTCTCCGGGAATTCCCGAGAGAACTCCAAAGTAGCGGGCGCCTGAGGCAGCAAGAGCTACCCCATTGCCCGACAGTAAAGGTCAAATATACAATACAATCAATCCAGCATCACAGCAATTATATACAGCTTAACTCAAATCATCATCTCAATGGTTCCCTGCGGTCACCTTTCAACCACTCCATTCTGGCAAAAATGCCATGCGTCATTCCGACTTGGCTATCACTCTCAGCAGACAGGCTCATTAATTAAGTCACCTCTCAGTATAACCTTCATAAGCCCAGTCCCCTCCTTTGTTCAGGAAAGTGGGTCCATTCCCATTTGTGTAGTCCCATTTCTGAATAAAGGCTGAAATGATCTGTGAAGTTTGCATCTGGCCTGGTCTCTTTGTTCTAGCAAATCTTTCTTACATTTGATTAATAGTTTTTGTAGTAAAGACTTATATGTTCTAAAATACACTTTGGAGGTGGTAGTGGTGCAACAGTCTGATTGATTGCCCATAGCATTGTCTTCATTTTGTGACTTCTTTGGTGCTTTTTTCCTCATTATGTCTACTATTCCTGAGTAACCCTAAGTTTTTACTTCAATTTACTCTCTCTCAATTTCTTCAAGAAGGAACTGTATCAATTCTTCTTATTATCAATATTTTCTGGGGGATGGGGGTACTGGGGATTAAACTCAGGGGCACTCAACCTCTGAGCCACATCTGCAACACTATTTTGTATTTTATTTAGAGACAAGGTCTCACTGAGTTATTTAGCGCCTGGCTTTTGCTGATGCTGGCTTTGAATTCTCCATCCTCTTGCTTCAGCCTCCCAAGTCACAGGGATTACAGGCGTGGGCAACACTATGCCTGGCTCAACTCTTATTTTTAAAGAAGAAATCACATTGCTACAAATTCAACTGATTTGAAACTTGGCTACTTTTGGTCCATCTTTAAAGAGCTTTACAAGGTTGATTTGTAAGGGTCCGGCGAACGACGGAGGAAGAGACCACCAAGAGACTGACTCATGCAACCGCAGAAGGGGGTTTATTGAGAATCCAGCGCGCTGGGGCTCCGTGCTCACTCAACAAGGGAGAGCGGCCCAGAACCCTGAGCAGGGGTTGAGCAGTGCTTAAGTACACTTTTTGGGGAGGACGGGGACTTTACATACATCACAGTCTCCTTTAACAAATCACCATACACCGCGGGAAAATCAAACAACAATTCTTAGACATGATCAGTACATTCATTGGCGGGAACAGGTCAGGCGCGAAGGGGGGGTACATTCAAACTGATTGGTTTGGGCCCTGAATGCCTACGTGCCAAACTGCAGAGGGTCCAGGTTATTTATCTACTGGACAGTCCTGGGAATTGTTTTAACAGCTACAGGAATTTCAGGTTTTGGGTGTAGCATAGGAACTTAACAATACCTGGTCCTTTACATTTTAACTCAGGCTTTGCAGCTTAGAAACTTTACAATACCCGGTCTTTTACACTTTAACTTCAATTTCTTTTACTCTTACAGATTCAGGCTAATGGCATTAAGCAATGTAACTGTTCATGAAATAGTAGTTTTTCTTAAAGACTAGGATTTTTTTCTTAAAAAAACGAGTAGTTTTTTTCGAAGATTGTGGGATTTTGAAATTCAAAACAAAAATATTTCCCCTTTGTAATGGAAGTTCTAGAAGCAACTACAAGAGAATGTACAGGAAATACTTGAAGAATGGATATAGATTTTGACACAATTCAGAAATATTTCTCAGCCATGCAACTGCTAATAAAAAGAGCGAGAGAGAGAGAGAGAGAGAGAGAGAGAGAGAGAGAGAGATTGAAAATAAGAGGAAGTGCTGCGATATAGAAATGTTGCAATAACTGTACTGGTTCAGCCACTTTTTAGTTAAATAGAAGTCACTTAATCTCTATAGGTCTTGCCAACCTAAGGAACATACAGAGAAAGATTCTCCAAAGATTAGCACATTTATTTGGAACTAGTAGAATACTGCAATATAAATATATGTGACATGGTAAACTATGTGTGTGTTCAAAGATGTTGAGGCAAGGGGATATTTTAAGGCAAATGAGGAGGATTATGTAAATTACTTTGATAGAATAATCCTGGGCCACAAGGCTGGTGACAAATTTGAGAAGACAACTCCTGAATAGGAGTCCTGGCAGAAGTTTTCTCCTGCAAGGTTGTGGTTCTGGTGGTCTTTTGTCAATGGTTGTTGTTATCAAG